GCTCTTCCTCTTGATTTTTATCTAGCCGAATTGGTGATCCTGTCAACCAGGCACTTTTTACTCGGCATTTAATGACGGATTTCAAATGGCTTGTTTGGCGTCACGGCATGATTTGACCGTTTTGAGGGTCCGATTACTAAACGGGTGCCACAACTTTACCTCGACCGCAATTATAAGAGGAATTTTCCCGATAGCGATTTATTGTTATGGGAATAGGAATAACTGCTGGATTTTCAATGTTTTCCTTGTCTATTTTCATTTAAGGGACTTTTAAGGTGCTCCTTGTTATTTAGTCACTGTCAACTGCTTTTATATTAATTGAGCTGCAAGATTGATCCTTGCAAGATTAAAGCTTATTGTACAGTTAAATTAATTTTACGAGCACTCGCTTACATGTTAAGATTATTCATACACTTTAGAAATTGTTCAGTATCGTTTAAATGTTCATCGAATAATTTTCAATTTAAAAGCGAACATATTATTCAGATTTATTAAAAAATTACGTATTAAATAAGGCATTATTATATGTATCAATAGTTGTATTACGTAAGGAAATTTTAAATAAACATATATTTTGTTATGTTTTTTTTTCGCACGACAGTACAATTAGTTCGAAGCTTTCAACGAGCAAATCTTTTGCATTAGAAGCCTTCGGAGATAAAAAAAAAAGTCATGACATACTTTGAAAACACATATGTAGCTTATTAAACCAGACATAACGACGTCCCTGACTAAGTGACAGGAATGGAGAAAGGGTTAAAGTTAGTATACCTTAGGGGGAGAACAAGCGAGCGTGGTGAGGGAGGGGGTATCAGAAGGGCATGAGAGAATGAGGAAGAAAGAAGTGAAACATACCTATATGTACACGAAATAGAAGCAGATGCTGTTTCTTCTTTTGCGAGGGAACGATGTACTGAGTATACCTTAGAGATAGAGATAGATAGATAGATAGATAGATAGATAGAGGGGGGGGGGGAGAGAGAGAGAGAGATTGATATTAGTACTTGGATAATTACACAAATACACTAGAGAAAATGTTAACAAGGTATCCCTTGCCTTTAATCTCCGGGGATGGACATGAGTTTTGCAAGCGCAATTTTCAGTTGAAAAGTATAATTTATAGTTACGTCGTGCTGATAAGGATGAATGGACAAATAAAGTACGCAAGAGCCGAGCAAAGAAATGAAATCGTATTAACGTAAATGGGAAAAGAATCGCACTACTATCCGCGATAATCGAGGAAGCGGTCAACCAATTTATGGTTCATTACTAATTTTTTTTTTTTTTTCAAATAACAAAAAAGACTTCGTAGCGGGTTAGGAGCGCTTCTCACTCTCTAAACGCTTTCGAACGAGAGCGCAATTTGTGAGCCGAGTTAAATACTCGAACGGGTTATTTCGTTTGGGAAAAAGCGACGGTTAAACGATAATGGGAGCGAGAATTCGCCGAAGCCAAATGCTGAAATCTCACCTCGCGAAATTTCATGGCCTGGGGGCGAGTTTTCGTGGAAGGTGCGATTCGAAAAATCTACGAGGAAGAAAAACGGGACGCCTACTTCTTATTTCCTCTTGTTCCCACACCGGCGCGCATCCTCGTCCTTTTCAACCTACTTTCCTCTCTCCCTCGCGCCATAGCCGCTCTCATTCGGTTACAGGTTGCGCTGTTAACGTCCATTGGTCAATTCATAAATACGAATCTTCACCGACCACCTCCCCGACATCTTCTCACCGACTTCTTTTACATCATCCTTGTTCTTCCTCGTCCCGACATTTCGTCATCTATTTCACTTGCGCTTTCCGAATTTTCGGCTCCTCTTTAATTTTCCAAGTCACGAGCACCGTATACACCTATTAGGTGCTTCCTTTTCCGCCACTTACCTTTCATGTGTAAATTTATTGTTTGTCATGTTGAACGCTCAAAGGAACCTTCTAAATCATTCAAATTTATACAAACTTTCTAGGATAGGCTATTTTCTTTTTCTTCCTTTTTTTTAAACGCCTTACAAAAAGTCCTTTCATTTCGTTCAACGTTGAATTCATTTGAAATCAACACTTGTCAAATAGCACGCTTTTATAGTCCATATATCGTTTAAAATATTGTAATATGGTCGGCATTATTACGTATTTCACCAAATACTGTGATAAAATAAGGCTTTCAAGTGTTAAGCGACATTAAAATTGACAAAAAATGGCTATTTGTAAAAGGAAGGAATTCCAAGGAATCGATTCTCTTACAAACAAATAAGGTGCTAAAGGTCTGCATTTTAATAATGTTTGAATTTAATGTATTTTTTAGGACTGTGTAAGGTGTATAAAAGTCGCGCTTGTTATAAGCTTGGGAACGTATAAGAATTTATTAAACCAGTTTCGTTACATTGGAATGTGTGTCAATTTATTTAAGTGACTAGTATTTAAATAAAAAGCAAAAAAAAAAAAATATATATATATATATATGCAATAAAACAACAGATAAAACAGAAAATATTATTAATAATAGCATTTTCAAAATTCGTATAAAAATTTTATACTAATTATCCGATTGATCCACTCTCGATTTTATGGACAATTGCAAATTTATTTTTATTGATCAGTTTGCAATCAATAGCTTCAACGTTTAACTTCATCCTTCTGTTAACGCGATCGATTATAATTCAATCCAAAAACTCTAATTGCGATGCGAAAGTAAGGAAGCTGGTGTTTGATGGTTTTTAAAAGCTATTAATCATTTTCATCAACCATCGCGCTTAAAGACCGTGAGAGGCTTATTCCTTACATGTTAAAATGTAAATTATAAAAAAAAAAAGAAAAAAAAACTAAAGTTTGTAAAGTGGTAGTATTTATCTTTTAAAAACTCCTGCGTCGTTTTTTTATTTATCCTGTCGATACTGGATGGTCTGTAAAAACTCTAAAAAATACAAACTTTAGCTTCTTTTCTTACCCGAGGTATCGATACACAATCGATCTACAATTAATGAAATTTAATAAATACTTATTGTTTAAAGTGAAATAATCTTGACAAAAATATATATCGCGATAAAAACTAAATCTAATTTTTTCATTATCAGCAATTCTTTAATTTCACTCGAATAAAACGTCGTCTGTACTGATTATTGATCCTACCCGAACCAAATACGTATTTACATACTCAACATGCAGAGCTTCGAGTTACTCACACTTGACCTTCTTGTTATAAGTGTGATTTTTCTATGCATGTCACATAGCATCTATCATGTCATTAACAATCGTATATTCCTCGATATATAATATAAAAATAATATGAAATGTAAAAAAATAAATCTACAATACAATTGCTTTGTTTTCTTGTCTTTTCCTACAGTGATAAACTAAATTTAATATTTTTGTTAATAATATGTTAATGCTAATGCAAGTTTCCAATAAAGAGAAGTATTTAGCATAAAGAATATGAAAAATGAAATAAATATGTTTAAGGGATCATAAGGTCGTAGGAACAATGTAAATAATAAATCGGAATTAATTTTGATATTTTTCATTAGGTAAAGTTCTGTCGTGGTTACAGCCTAAAATAGTATAATTAAATAATATAAGCAATGCCACAAACTTAACAAACATTTTACACTGATTCATTTTCTTTAAAATCAATAATGATGGTGATGCTGATGACTACGACGACGACGACGACGACGACGACGACGACGACGACGACGACGACGACGACGACGACGACGACGACGACGACGACGACGACGACGACGACGACGACGACGACGACGACGACGACGACGACGACGACGACGACGACGACGACGACGACGACGACGACGACGACGACGACGACGACGACGACGACGACGACGACGACGACGACGACGACGACGACGACGACGACGACGACGACGACGACGACGACGACGACGACGACGACGACGACGACGACGACGACGACGACGACGACGACGACGACGACGACGACGACGACGACGACGACGACGACGACGACGACGACGACGACGACGACGACGACGACGACGACGACGACGACGACGACGACGACGACGACGACGACGACGACGACGACGACGACGACGACGACGACGACGACGACGACGACGACGACGACGACGACGACGACGACGACGACGACGACGACGACGACGACGACGACGACGACGACGACGACGACGACGACGACGACGACGACGACGACGACGACGATGACATTAATGACAATAATTACAATATAATAATAAACTCAATAATAATAATAATAATAATAATAATAATAATAATAATAATAATAATAATAATAATAATATAGGCATTGTGACAATAATAATCAAGAATTAATTTCGGATACAATATTTGCTCGGCGAACGAGCTTCGCGCATAATTCACACTCCCTTCGTCAACAAACATTAACAGTAATCCAACGCACATCGTATCCAAATAAATAAAAAAAAAAATAATAATAAAAAAAAAAGAGTAGAAGAAAAAAATACAAATAATCGCAACCGCCG